ATATATGGGATTAATGTTGCCAATTATACTAATGCAGTGTTTAGTTAGAATTAGTCATTAGATTTTCCATGTTTATAAGTGATATCTGAGCACAAATGCAGTGCAGGTCAAAGCATATTTTTTATAATATAACCCCTTAGTTATAATATAAGCCTTATTTTTGCAACATTATACATGTACACAATGAAAATATAATGTTTATTTTACTTTTACAGTAAATAAATTGGTACAATAAGGTAGGTGTACCTGAATGTTATACAATATACACATTATACAACATGTACAGTGCGATGAAAAAATACAAAATAACAGTCGCAAAATTTCAATTTGATTTCAAGTACATAATTTATTACTAAGGAAAGAAATCAGAAGTCAAGGAAAAAACCCTCGTCATTTGATTTATAAGTCTTTTTAATGTGTTTAATATTACCAGGTTTAGCTTTTATCTTAAAGGCTGGTAACGGATTATGCACATATCTGCACACGAGTTTTGTCAACAGTAACGAGCAGCGGTCGCATACATGAAACGAGTTATACAGAACCCGAGAATAAAAAGGAAAAACAAAGAACGAAAATGAGATTACGATTCGATTGGAATTCGGAATTCTATGTCAGCTAATAACAGAGCTCAATTAGAATTACATATTAATATTTTCTTTTTTCAAATGAAATAAATTGTTGCTTTCCTTGGAAAACCAACTCCTATGCAGTACTGGTTTTGCCCATTAGTATAAAGAAATTACCCTCGTGAAGAAAAATTTGTGATAAGTGTCCCAAGTAAAACTGATTCTTTTTATTAAATATTAATAAGAATACCCGATTCTTTATCGAATAGATTAAGCAAAAGTGTGAAACTCAAATTGCATGAACTGCATGATAATGAGAATGGGGGAATTAAAAAGCAGAAAATAAATTCAACTTTAAAGTTGTATATACATTTTGATACTTGGCGCTAACATTAAAAGAATATTAAACGAAGTTAAATAATTAAAAAATATTAATCGATGATGGACCAATTATTTTACTCTTTCATAGTGCAAGATAACCCAAACTTTAATCAGCAATAAACAATAAATTTAACAAAGTAAATCCTGTAAGTAATAAGAAAATGTACGCAGTATTTTCGTAAAACCATTGTTAAACATTGCTAAGCATTAATAAACACTGACCTCTTCGTTTTTTCTAACGTAAAATATGTTCAATAATTTGCTTTATATGTAGTTAATATCTCATAAAGCATCATTTTATATTCAATTTAAAAATAAATATTGTGCTCTTTTTTATTTTCTATTTAATAAATATCACATGTTTACACGTTTTTTAATGCTTCAAAACTTAAGTATTTTCCACAAAAGTTACGGTTTCAAAAGCTAATTCAAAGTTACTACTTTTTAACTATTAAGAACAAACGCAAATTTGCAGAAGTCATCACAAAGCTATAAGAATTTAAGTAGATTGAGGCAATAAAATAATAGTTAATTAACATTCCTTTTCATTCAAATAAAAGACCTCAAAAACATCTCCAACATGACTTTTAATTACGATTTACATACGAAATTTGTATCCCAAATTCGTTAATATGTATGAGAAAAAGGTGGACCAAAATGTTTAAAATTGATAATTATATGAATACCTAATGGTCTGTCCCTTTAACTAATCTTGTTACTCGTAGTGTTAAATAAATTAATTATTAAAATAGTCTGGTCTCTATTCTCTTGATATCAGCTACTTACAGATACCTTTCTATTTGTGTTGATAGAATGTACAACTATATATAAGTTTATATATAGTTGTTAGAATGTACAACTATATATAAGTTAAGTTTATATATATATAAACTTAACCTTTCTTTGCTCTCAGAGCCATACTCTACGGAAAGACATAATACATTAGCCCTTAAACAAGAAAAAAGCTGCTGAAGACCCTCTACCGCAAGTTTTAGCCTGCAGTGATGCTTTACATTACTTCCTCGAAAGGATACTGGTACATTTCCATGCTTTCCTGTTTGCCGTAATTGTGTGATGAAAGTAGATTCTATAGACATTGATGCACTCCTTTTAAAGAATTAGTAACTGGATCCAATCTATTCAAAGCGTTTTCATGATTTCCCCATATTTAACGTGAATATGAGGAATTTGCAACACCCATAAGAAGCTAATATAATAATTGACTAGTTCAAGTACGACTCCTTTCCTTTAAGTGTTGCATGAAAGCTAAGTGACTTTTCACGACTAGCTTAACTAGTTTCTAGAACGAGATATGAGTATTCAACATTACTTAAGTTTACTTTGCCTCACTACTTGTGAGGTTCAAAATAAAAATAAAACCTGGCAGTGAACATAAAACTGGTTTTTAGACTCATTAAAGAGTTTCTAACAGACGCTACAGAGTCACTGATTATGGACTAACAGATACTCAAAAGTCTTAACTTACCAAACAAATATACCTTGAGATTCTAGTCGTCCGCAAGGCAGCGTCTGTTTGCAAATTGATAAGCTGGACAGGCATTGAGCCAAAATTATTCACACAGTTATGAACCACTTCTCTAAATTTATATTAAACTGCTGTTTACTCACTTATTAATTATTAACGAGACACTGATGAAATAAGATATCAGAAAATATGCAAATTAATATCGCACTGTTTAGCGAAATTCAAATATTTTCCATTCGAAATTCATCTGCATAGGCTTTCCTTGGTATAGTTAAATAACCTTACTATACTTTCCTATAATTCAAATAAACTTGTCCAATCCAGTTTTAATAAGGCTCTAAGATTAAATTTTAAATTCAGCCTCGCTGGCATTATATGCTGTTTTCACCTCATAGTGACAGCATGAATTTGGAATTTAAAAACAGAATTAAAATTTAGATGCTACCTAGAATCGAATACAATGTTCACATTTTTATTTTTGCATATTTATTTCTTCCAAAACCCTTAGCAATCTTTCGTCTACTGATGCTGGACTTTCACTTTTTGATGTTCTGTTTATGGAGACATATTCAGAAACATAAAGCAGGAAGCAAAACAGCAAGTATTGATTGACGAAATTCAACTTGCGTTTTTCATGTCTCGAGAACGCGAATTGGGAGATGTATAAAATTTATATATAGCATTGCTCTAATATAGGTATTTTGACACTAAATCGGACTTTTTCTGAAATGACATGCCAAGGTTTTTCCATATTTCGATTCTACGACTCAAATTAAGCAAACTGCCAAGTTCTGTAAAAATCGCAAGAGTAGTTTCTAAAAAATTAGCTCTCAAAATTTTAGCTCCTTAGTGTTAATCCAATTCTATGTATATTTAATAATATCTCTTTTTTTATTAAATTAATAATATCTCTTTTTCTTACTTGAATTCTACTTCCAGAATTCGAAATTAGATTCATTCCAAATACAGTTTGCAATTTTTTATGATTTATTTTTAAACCTTGTATTTTAAAATATTTTTTATAAATTTTGCGAAAACATGTTTGCATTACAACTTATAAATTTTTAACATCCACTTAACGTAGATGTATTTCTAGGCACACCTGCAAAAAATTAGAGTTTTTATTCGAAATTTTCTAAAATATCCACGAATTTACATACTGGCGCGTTTTGAAATTTGGCATATTTATTATAAGCGATAATCAGGCCAGATGTGGTTTATGATTTGTTGAAATTATTTCAAAATATAAATGATTACATATTTTCCGCTCGTGTACAATGCAAAAAGTAATGTAAAATAGGTTGCGATAAATTAAGAAGTTCGAAACGTTAATTTGTCTTGGCGCGAACTGAAAAAAGGAGTCAAGATAAATTTTTGAATTTCTTCGTAAATTTCTATCAAAATTTTACAAAATTTAACATTTAGGCAAAATTTGATTCGCAGAATCGAAATACTGAAAAACATTGTCATGCCATTTTAGAAAAAGGCTCGATTCTTTATCAAAATACCTTTATTAGAACAATGATATACATAAATTTAATATATATCTTAAGTCGCGCTTTCGAGACTTGCAAAACGCAATTTGAATTTAGTCAATCGGCCCAGTAGAAGGGGAGATATAGAACTGTGTACATTTATTAAAATTATAATATAATTCAGCTTTTATTATGTCGATTATTTGTACGTCCTACATTAAACAAAATCAGTTGTTAACTTAATATATTTCTATGAATAATTCAATGACTCCACATGTTTGAATGCATAATTTTGATTCCTTTTTTAAAGTTCACTTTTCAGATTTTGTAGTAAACTAATTACATGAAATTGCATTCATTTGGTTGTACATTTAATATCTTCAAATAATTTGAACTCCAGCCATCCGGATCAGAGTTCCTATTAAATTTATATGGTTGTACGTCCTATTTATGTTAATTATTGTTTAATATATGTAATTTATTTAGTTGTTCTTTTAATTTATGTATAACAGAATACAGTATGATGCATAGTTTTATGAATCTTAAAATTTTTTTGGTCACTATTTTCAGAAATTCAGTGTAAACTATAAGTGCGAAAACTTACTGATAAATATTATTTGCCTAGTTTCATGAGTTTACGTTTATATGCCAACGAAATATGTTGATTTTAAAACTAGTTGGACAGAAATAAATTGCGTAGTTTACTTCATTTCCTTATTTTACGAAGTAGAAAATAGGGTTCCATTAGTATAAAAAAAAATATTTTTTTTATATTAAAGGTAACACAGATGTATTTTGTGTTTGTTTTACGAATACAAAGCTATTTTATTTTTTGAAAACAATAACCTTTGTGGAAACAAAATGCTCAGAATAAGAAAAATAAAAATATGTCACCCACGCTACAGTAAATATGTATTTCGTTACAAGAAATATCCAGCCTATCCACATTTTTCCAATCTATATGAATGAAATGGGATGTTGTTAAGTCTGATACTGACATAGAATGATCCTGAAATGGATTTACCATAAGAACTAGTGCTATCAATTTTGGGCAACAAAAATTATAAAAGAATTTAAAAAAAATATATTTACTTCCTTTTTCTTTCACTGGACTGCAATCTGCGTAAGAGTAAGAAAACCTGGAGAGTAAGAACACAATTAGAATCAGAATAGCATAATAGATTTTATATATCAATATACTGCACATTTTTAGAGAAATTTGTATTAACACGCAATTAGTATGAACGAGGTCCTAGAAAGTCTTCAGGTTACCTGGATATATCATATCTTCATTTTCACTAATTGTAGCAAACACATCGAACACTCTTTTTAATCTTAAATGAAATAATTTATCATTTCTGTGAATGAAGTGTTACATGCTTAAAGAGTGTACGAAAAATTAAATTTTTTATTCTTGTATATCTAGAATTTATTTTCGAAATATGCAGTTTTATTTTTGCTTCTGTAGGAGCTTGCTATTTAAATAACACCAGAACTTTTCGAAATACCAGTCAAAAATTTAAAAACGATAATGTTTTAACTTTTAATTATTCAAAAACGTAAGTAGCGTTTATTAAGAGACTTCTCGTGGAAAACTTTTGACATACATTTCGAACGTTTTAACTATTATGCTTTTTTCGGTAGAAAATTTTCGAAATATGTTCACAAATCAATCTTCATCCATTTCAGAATCACTTAATGAAACTCTGCTTATTTTTGGATTTGTTTCTTTGGCGTATCTTTTACAGGTATGCTGTTTAGTATTAATTCGAAAAAAATTACCCTGAAAATGTGTAAGGTGGTGTTATATTCCTAGTAGCAGAAAATAAATAAAAATACCAATAAAAATAAAGCATTAAACAATTATGCAATGCTCTTTGCAAGGAAGCTATTTTATTATTATTATTTCTTTGCAAGTTTTTAGTTCGAAAGATTAGGAAACGCTTATTGAAATTGAATTGATATATTTTATGAAAGCATTTCACTATGTATTTCGATTAATTGAATTCTTTCGCCTTGAAACATTTATAATTCCTATGCTTTTAACTATACTTTTAACCATTTTTAAAGAAATGTTTTCTTGACTTTATATAATGAATATCTATATAAGTATTTAATACTTAAAATGCAAAATAATATTACATTCATGTTAAGATTTTAAAAATGTGAAACATTTGGGAATTCACTGTGAAAAGGAACTAAAATCAGATGAACGTATTGTGATGCAACATTTACATCAACAATGCTTCAAAAATTTTAAAATCTTTAAGCTACGTTAAGTGCAACAACTTTTGATATTTTTACATTCCGAGAGACGCACAAAAGTATACTGGGATTGAAATATCCATATTGCGCGTCTGAATCTCTTTTGAAGGTTTATTTTTCTAGATATTTCAATTACGTGCAGTCTCGTAATTTTCTGACATATAAAGGATTTCAGCAATGAATAAATTAAAAGCTTGAAGCTATTGTGTCTGCACCCTTTTTATTCGAGCTGAAATATGAAACTTTCAATTCGTGAAATTCTCAAAGAAACAACTCTTTTGTTAAAATGCAAGTTTATTTAGAAAACTTGCGTTATATTTTTAAAAAGAAAGGAACTCCTGAATGTTCTGTATGTATTAAACTAGTCAGTTTTGAAGTTCATTTTCTAGTTATCTGAGATTACTTGGTTAGTTAATTATAGAAAATCAATAATGAACTAACTGTGTAAAATAGTATTTCTTCGTTTAAGCTTTCTATAATGCAGAAGCTCATATTTATGTTGCGCATGAGCAAAATTACACATTTCTCGTAAAACAAAATTTATAGAGAAATTCTAAAATAGCAGAAATCTCATAAACTTGAATTTACTAGCCAAGCTGTGTTTATCCCATCTCACGCCATAGCAAAAATATCAAATTATCACATTTTTCTATAGAAAGTTAAAAACATTTCCCACTTGCACAGGGAAGTTTAAAATGCGTGTTCTTCCCTCTGCTCTCAGAGCCTTTTTTAATCTAATAATTTACAAAAGATATCAGAATAATAAAAAGTAATTATTTCATTAATGTTATAATTAGCATCCATAACTCGGCTACGCCCTTTCTTATATGTATATATAAATGCATGTGTATGTGCATCAGAAGTGGATAAGGTGAGATAAGATAATCATGCGTATTCAAGATTTTGTGAAAAAAAAATCGTTGTACTGTGAAGGTGTGTATCGGAATTCGAAAGTGAGAATTGATTTTTTTTTTCTTTTGGAATGTGCTGAGTAGTAATTTGGGTTTTTAGAAATAAGTGTTAAATCCTGTTTATTAGTATTGTGTACTGTGAGGAGTTCTTATTTGATAATTTTAAGTTGATAGTGTCTGTATTAAGTTTGAAGCGCTTTTATCATTCGTTGTGTTTATTTTTGTTGTGTGAGTTTAATGAGCTCTTTTTCGGTGCTAATTGTGTTCTAATTGTCACTTCAGGCTTGTTATATTTTTTTTAACTAAGTCCCTTAAGTCATTAAAAAAGACGAGTTGGAGCTCGTAACGGAAGAGTTAGGATTAATAATTTCAAGTGAAGCCTAAATAGTTACTTTGGAAAGTTTAACAGAAAATTTAGAAGTTTATGCAAGTGATGCAGAATTCGTACAAAAATGTTATTGACAGTATTCTAGAGGAAAAGGAAATACAAATTGTGAGACAAAAATCAAGGAAACGAAATTAGATTCGAGTTAGAGAAAACAAAACTCTCTCGTTTAGAATTGGAATTAGTTAACACTAGGAAAGAATTGTCACACAATCAAAATGTTGAGACAAATCCCTCAAATCGAAATACCGAAAATTTAATTAAAAGTATAAAATCATTAACGATTTAGGTACCTACTTTTCTTAAAGCAGAATCCTTTAATCTCTTCTTTCAATGAATTAAAAATGCTTTCAGGACAAGAAAAGCACCCGAAGATTTAGAATTCAATGGTATATATACAGGAAGAAGATACGAATGATTACGATAAACTGAAATCCATGGTTTTAAATGAATTTCAGTCAACCTTTCAAGAGTGCCTAAATTATCTTCATTCTGATCAAAAAATGTCATCTAAGAATTTTGTACAATACGCGAAGTGAAAATTTTGAACATTATAGTCAGCTGAGAAAGGTGAAATATTTCAAATCGTTATGTGACTTTATTGTTTCGGATACGATAGTAATTGAACTCGATAGTGAATTGAAGTCCCATATAGCATTTAGGTTCGTAGTTCGAACCCCAAATTTTAGGTAGGGAATGCGATAATTATTTATGATCAAAACGTAATCAGAAAACAGAATCCCTTTTTTCAAAATAAATTTCAGGTTACGACAATGAAAGAATATAGAGAATATTGTAATTACAATTACAATTTTTTTCAAATCTAATAGGTATGCGGAGTAAAAAAATCCTTCATGTATTTTGTGTAAAACTAATCAAAATCAGGCACTGCATTATTGTCCTAATTTTTAAGGTAAATGAGCGAGATGAAATTATAAAGCAAAATAATCTCGGTTTCAAACGCTTTTCTTAGCGGTATAATGTGAAAAAGTGTAAAGCCAGAAATTGTTTCTGTGAGAAAGAGCATCCATACGATTCATTTTTCTATGCAAAAATCAAATTCTTTTGAGAACAGATAACGCTGACGCCAATCGAATTCAGCGCAATTTTTCGGTGTCAGGGTCAAGCCTAATACATGATCCAAACGTTCTTTCAGTTTCTACAGTTATTGTTAGGAAAAATTTATACTTATTACAAAAAATAAGAGACAAATTATTTATCTTCACTGCAACAAAAAATGATTGAGATATTTAAATTTGTGTGTGTGTGTGTGTGTGATTATGGCAAAGCCTCGAGGGCTATCTGCATAAGGGGAGGGCTGCCTTCGTGGAGGACTTACTAAGGGAAACTGGCTCGTATACACGTTACACATGGGGAAAACCACGAAAACGCCCATGCAGCCAGCCCGTTCGCGGGATTCGCACCTCGGACCGAACTACCAGTGTTCAGCAACGTTACCGCTTGGCCGCTGGTGGGCCTATTTAAATTTAATGCTTGTGATTTTTATGAATTTTACAACTTTAGAAAATCAAATTTGTGATACTACTTAATAAATTAGAATAAGCTGAAGTTGCTTTATTTCCATTTAATGTAATTCAATTGTATATTCCTTTGAGACTTAATGATGTGTAATATTATTTAATTGATTAATTTGCTAAAATCGGTATACAGAAAATATTCACGCAATTAATTTATAAACTTTCGAATGTTAAAATTACGTCATTAATATTCTTAGAATGCTTTATTAACTTTAGAGTCATAATATAAGAATCATGGAAAAAATTACAGAAACTAGAAAAATGTTTCTAACTTAGAGTTAATGAAAATAATGTTACAACTTGGCTATGTATTAATACGAAGGTTTTTCAGTATTTTCTAGAGCTATAATATAATGAAATGTAATATAACGAAGTTTATAATATTCTGAGAATAGAATATTCTTTCTGAAAAACATTTATACTGAGTACTACGTTTCACCACAATATGCACAGAAATGCTAAGAACACAATCAATATTAGGGACTTTGCAAACCAATATTTTATTTTTACTTTCCTGTAAATGCAAACATTTCGCTGGTCAATTTATGTACGGCATCCGAATATAATCTCAAACTTTATAAAATGAAATATATCGGAATTATTTGTTTGATGGGAGTCGCACGTTTTGTATTTTAATTTTTATAATGAGTGAAACTTTGCTAAATTTAAGCATAAAAACCTCAGTGAACTACAAAAAGTTAGATTCTGTAATTTTTAGAAAAGTTACTTTTTTAATATCAAAATATCCAAAAATGAATAATTGCTTCATTTAAAACATAAAACATTGTTTTAGTTGGAAGTATATATATCTATGACAAAAAAATAAAGTGAAATAATAGATTATCAAAAAATAAATAAATAAATAAGAAATTAAAATAATAGATTATATCTTCATTTGATGCAGGAAAAAAGGAAGATTATATTACTGATGTATATCAAGAATAGAAAATATGCTTTAGTTAACTGAAATTATAATAATAATAATTACTACAATTGTATACACAATAATTACTAAATTCAATAGATTAATATCATTAAGA